GCGCAGCTATGTCACGGTTGAGGCATGAATGGCTCGACTCGATCGGGGAATGACCACGCTCTCACAGAATACCAGTGTAAAATAGCAGATCAATGTTGCTGGGTTTTGTATGGTGAGCACAGAGAGCTGGAGACATTTTTACTGGTAACGAGGTATTCCATCTCGGTCCTTAGGGATGACAATCTGTATTTTGATACTTAATCGAGGATAAAAGTAGATGTCTATAGCCCACGGCGTCCACTTACCATCAGATAGACTGTATGCTCGTTTGTCACTCTTATTCTATAAAAAAAACAATTATTATTTCATAGAAACAACCTTATTAACCTCAACGTATGCTATTTTCATTTGTAAAAGTAAATTAGTTGTGTTACCTATAATTTATGTATTTATTCATACTCAAGTTATACAAACTACAGTGTAGTGTTCTACGTGCAACGAATGCCTATCGCTACATTTTAGAATGGATGTTGTTTAAATTAATGTTAATTTAATGAAAGTAATCTGTTTTATTTATTTCGTTTAGTTTAAATTTAATAATACGTGTTTTTAATTTGTGTATGCCGTCATTACCTATAAGTGTGAAAACGAGAAGATTTAAGTCTTGAGTCTTACATACTGCTTTTATAGAAAAAGGGTGATAAACGAGCACACAGTTTACATGACGGTAAAAGGATGCCGTGGCCCATAGACATCTACATCTATCCTCGATTAAGAATCAAAAAGCAGATTTGTTGTCTCCCTGAGGACTAAGATAGAATGCCTCATTTCCAGTAAAAAGGGACTTACTATACCTAGCACGCAACTGCGTCATACTGCTAATTGAAGCTGGTATTCTGTGAGAGCGTAGTCCCACCCCGATAGCTCTGACCCATTTAGAACAACAACTTAAACCAACTTCAAACAATGAAGGTCGGAAAGAAGGTTCAAACAATTATGACATTGAGTCTGATTAACGCATCTGTACTGCGTCATAATCCGAGTTATTGTCATAATTAGAACTGCTTGTATGAATTATTATAGATGTTGTTTAAATAAATAATAACGTGTCTTTATATTGTTGCAGGTAAGCGTGATTGACTTTGTACATTTTCACAGTGTTGAAAGTATGTGGAGTTTCAATTGTAAAAATTACTGCTGCCAGTCATAGCTCACACACACATACACACACCAAACCTACCAAAAAAATTTATGGTAAAATTGTATTGAAGAAATAAATTATTGCTAATAAGTTTATAATAGAATTAATCTAAGGAAGAGTGTAGCCTTCTGGCGCAAGTATTAGGAGGTCTGAACTAACTAACACTGTACCAATTCACAATGTCCTTTGTTACCCAATAAAATTTAAATTTACGCGAACACAACACATTATAACAAAACTATATTGATGGATATTATCGCGTTTAATTTTAGTTATTTCTAATTCCCGACGTTTGCTGTACGTTTCCGAAGGCTGAACACGATTTTATAGTAACCAGTATTAGCCATGATATAATTTTTTGTTAATTGAATACAAAGTCACATAGCATTTAAGGAATTTTAATTAAAACAATACTGGCCTTAATGCCTGTAATGGAATTCAAAATTTATATATTGCGGGTATTGATTAAATACTATATTCAATGTTGGAATGTTATAAAAGTTGCTAAACAAATAAGCTGTAAATTTAAGTCTATGTAAATACATAAATCGCCGGCTGATCTAATTTAAGTTATAATACATATTTGTTCAAAATACATTTACATATACGTGGTAGAGTCAAGCTGCAGCTATATTACTGGCATAGTTGTAGCTCGAATGGGTCGGTTCGACCTGGGAAGGACCACGTTCTCACAGAATACCAGCGTAAAACAGCAGGTTAACACTGCTGTGTTTCGTATGGTGAGTGTAGAGAACCGGAGACCCTTTTTACTGGAGAGAACGTTCCATCTTAGTCCTCACGGGTGACAACGCATCTGCATTTTGATTCGCAAACGAGGATAGATGTAGATGTCTATGGGCCACAGCAACCACTTAACATCAGGTGGACTGTGTGTTCGTTTGACACCCTATCCTATAAGAAATACATCAAGTTATTGGTTTCTTAGAATATTTGTTTGATTAATAATGGAAAGGAGTGGAGGAAATGAACACAAGATCTGAAACTAAGAACTTATGCTTTTACACAATTGGTCACTCAGGGGCTATGTGCTTACGGTAAATAACACAGTACGCGAGCAATGCGGTTTCGATTCCTACCTATACTAATTAAATTGTTATTTGCAATTAAAAGTGCATATTTATACTACGTGTTCGGCGCAGTCCTATAAGTTAAAGTTAGTACATATAGTTTCAAATCGTAATTATCATCTCTAGCATTATCATACTCGTCGCACGGCGCGGGAAACGGTAAATTTTACTTTTCCAATTATGTTCTCACGCTGTTCGTAAGGTTGAAGTTAAATTGCATGCGTTGCAGAGGGTACTTTGGTTTGCATTAATTAGTATTGAAACACTAGAAATATTTTAATTTTAATCTCAATTAATTCGAGAGTTCGATTGCAAACGTATCCACTTATTACAAGCCTAACTGAATGTTAGTAATGATTTCTTATATTTACGCGAACACTACACATTGAATAAAACTACTTTTTTACGGATTTTATCGCGTTTAATTAACTTATTTTATATTCCCGACGTTTCGGTTGCTTTCCAGCAACCATGGTCACGGGGGATTGAGGTGACTGACGTCCCGATGTCAGAGTTAACCCGGAGTATAATTAGAAAGCTGAAGGTACGCGATAAAATCCGTAAAAAAGTAGTTTTATTCAATGAATGTTAGTATTTTAAATTATTTTTGTATTCCATTTTTAAATATACGTGTCAGTTAGATTCACAATGGTGCTGTCTTATTGTGTGAGTGACGAGTACCGGAGACCTCTTAAAACACCATAGTCCTCAGGGGTGACGACGCACTGGCATTTTGATTATTAATCGAGGATATATAAAAGTGTCTATGGGCAACAGCATCCATTTAGGTGAACTGTATGCTCCACCTAAGTGGATGTCGAAATTTACTCTTTAAAACAGTTTGGTGCGAATATGTGCAATACCTATCGCGCCACCTACCAGACAGAGCAGAACAACGTTTATTGAGCGAGCTAAACGTAACTACAGTGACATAGTATAGGAGAAGAGTGGGTAATGGGAGTCAGCGGGTAATGGTGATCACCTAATTATATACAAAACTACATATCCCTGAGTGGCGTAAATGACTTCTATGCCCCGTTCTGTGTCTCCCACCACTGTTTCGAACAACTCGCACCTGTAACCGCCGCGCCATTTGAAATGATAGCTGCTTTTTGTTTTTGCGCCCAGCCGATGTAAATTTTTGTCGAAAGAAAACAAACGGTAAGTTTCGAATTTCATAATGGATCTAAATGAGACTTTCATGTGTAATTAGTCTGACATTCACAATAGTGATGTACACATTTGATTACCATAATAATATCTAGTTTTTTTTTATTTCTGACTTTATTCTCATTAGTGTAGTTGCGGGCAATGGTAGTACCCTGACTCAGCCAGACTAGCAATGGGAGTCAGGGTACTACCATTGCCCGCAATTGATTGTTAGAAGTAAAGATTGTAGTATACTATTTTATTATACTTCTATAGACTTAATTTATTACAGGTTAGGTATATACTGCTTTTTTGTTTTGTAGATGCCGAATGTACGGGTCAGAATTACCGAAAAGTCAAGCTTATTGATCAATAGGGTTATTCCTTACGAAAAGCTGCTATAATTACTGATATACCATTTACTTGGCTCATGGTGCGAACTAAGGGGTGGTAGATTTTACGCCGCTACCATACGGCGAGGAGCCGAGGCTGTCGTTTCGGCTTTGTCGCTCGTTTAGCACCACCCGGGGGACACGTGTAGGGTGGGCCTAGGATTAGGTGGTCGAAGCCTACGGACGCGAGCGACTCAAATGGAAGTCCGTAGTCTCTGCCTACCCCTCTGGGTGACAGGCGTGAGTGTTTATGTATGTATGTTATGTATGTATTTACAAGTCTACAAAAGTTACGAAGTTAATGACGAAATAGCAAATCTGGTGAAAAAGATGGCCAATATTTTTATGGATGTATTACCGCTATTCAGATAAGAAAATGGGAAAAGAGAAAAAGACATGGAAAGGTTAGGTTAAAGGTAAAAGGCAAGTTCTCTAGGAATCAAACGATACTTCGGTATCAGACGTCAACAGTAATAGTTAGAACGATGAGGATGATGACACAGAAGACGCAGGAAACAGATGTAGGCATCATTGCTGCATACTAGAGTATGCAGCAAATTTGGAAGTAACAGCGAGATGTAGTGGGTGAGACTCGGCCATAGGTTATGTCTGCTATAAGTGTTAAATTTTGTTTCACTCTGATTACCCACACGGTGACTACTATTGCCCTCACCCCCATTGCACTGGGGTCAAATCTGTTATTTTTTCAATCGTATTTATTTCCAAAACTGATTGCCAAATTTATTAAAACTGATCTCAATCGATAGCTGTTGGTCTAGTGGTTAGTGACCCTGACTGCTACGCCGGAGGTCGTGGGTTCGATTCCCACCCAGGACAAATGTTTGTGTGATGAGCACGATCATTTGTTCTGTGTCTGGGTGTAATTTATCTATAATATTTATGTATTTAGAAATATATAAGTATGTTTATCAGTTGTCTAGTACCCATAACACAAGCTCTGCTTAGCTTGGGACTAGATGGCGTTGTTTGATAGTTGTGGAATATTATATTATTATTATAGCTAAATAAGTAGATTTTGTTATTATGTAGTTTTAATAAATATTTTATTGTAAAATAAGCCTTTATTTAAATTCTCGCTTAAGTGACTCCCATTACCCTCTTTTACCCTACTGTTGCTAAAAATCGTGAATACCAGTAAATTAAATAAAAATCAATGCGTTACATATTTTAATTCCTCCAAAAAATTATAATGAAATAGTAAAACGAAGTTCAAACATTCGCCACTGCTGGTAGAACCTCCTCATAAATCTGTATGCCGCGCAGGAACTGCTCGGCGCGAAGACTCTCATCGTGCTCGTGCAGTCCTGGTGTGGTGAGGCGCGCGGCCGTGAAGCCGAGGGCACGTATTCCCGAAGCGCGCACGAAGCGGCTGTCCGTGCCGCCAGGGAACGTACGGACGACCAGCGATATGCCACTAAAATATTTGTTTCAATTAAGCTGAAGCCATTCATTTATTCGCTACAGCTTATCAAAGTCCATTGCTGAACTTAGGTATCCTCATAGTTTGACTCAAAGAAAAAAAAAACTTAAAAAAAAAATATTTGCATTCGTCACGCTTAGCAGGCGGGTTGTTGACCTCTGTTTTATATTTTGTAGTTGTTATTAGGAAGACGTTGCTGCCCATTACCTGGTTTGTTGCCTTTTGTCGCTTCTTACGATATCTACGGGTACAATATGGGGTAGTGAAAATCCTTACACCACTGTCGGCGCCGTTACGACAGCACCGACGGTGTTCGCGAGGAGTACTAGAAGCGCGGGGGCTTTTCTCACCACCGCGCCTAAGTCCTGTCACGGTCGCCGCTATGTTCAATTAGGGAACATGAATAAAATAGGCGACTCACACGATAGACAAAATTTTATATTTAAATAATCAAAATATAAAATAATTTGGTGGTGATCGTGTCGCGAGGTATCGGCGAGTGACGGTCTTAGGCGCGGTGGTGAGAAAACCCCCCGCGCTTTTAATACTCCCCGCGAACACCATCGGTGCTGTCGTAACGGCGCTGACAACTTCCACTACACGGTCAACGTTGACTTTATACAGTGATGACGAACCTTTTTAAGAGGTTAACCCACTTCTTAAAATGGTTTTCTTCATTTGTTTTAGTTCTATCTCATGAGTCATCAAGTCAGTTGAAACCGTTTAAGAAAATTTTGTAATTGTTATGATCATCATCAAAATTACAAAAAAAAAATATCGAATCGGGCCATTTATCTCTGAATGTCGATTCAAATATCTTATCTCCAAAAGTATGTTTGTACGGTTTTAATCCTTATTGCATATTGCCATTTAATTGTTTTTCTTAAATTAAGTCTAGACTAAGGAGTATAATAGAAGTTTAAAGTAAGTTTGAGATAAGTCCTTAAAAGTATTAAAGTAATACTTAAAATAATAAAACTAATAATTCTGCAGCTATATTACGGTTGTAGCACGGATGAGCCGCGTCGACCGGGGTAGGACCACGCTCTCACAGAATACCAGCGTAAAATAGCAGCTCAATGCTGCTGTATTTCGTATGGTGAGTGAAGAGATCCGGAGAACCTTTTTTGCCCCAATCAAAATGCAGAAATCTGCATTTTGATTCGAATATAGATGTAGATGTCTGTGGGCGACAATAACCATTTACCATCAGGTGGACTGTGTGCTCGTTTGTCACCCTTATTTTATATAAAAATAAAAGTAAAAATATAAATTTTATACAAAGTAAGAACCTTATGTTAATTATTTAAATAAAATCAGCGTTTTAAAGCTTTTCCGATAATTTTTTACCAAAATAAATTCATCGAATTTTATCTTATATATAGTTTTAACCTGAGGTATATTATGAATTTTTAAGGACAGCTGTTTATACTCACAGTTTATCAGCAGCGGATTTGAATGCAAGCCAGTACGGATTTGTATTATCTACAGGCGTTGGAGGCACGTACACGTCCTTCTGGTTGAATGTATAAGTAACTCCATCACCAGCTTCCTTACACCACTGCTTAACCTAAAGATTGTCCGACAGATATTATATAAGTTTCCGTATTCTTTACAATTATTACAATATAATACGAAATATTAAACCACACTAATACTAAAAAATAAAGAAAAAACATTGTTTATGGAAAGATAAATTTCATTTCAAATGAAGTGTTCCTTTAATAATAAAATAATTATGAGCCCGTTTCCTTTACCTACTCGTACATACCATGTTTTCGAACCTCTCCAAATCCTCAGACAGTGCGTGACGGATGTCAAAAGTGGCGGTCATTTTCTCCGGAATGACATTATCTTGTATTCCACCCTAAGTACGAAATTAAACATTAGGCTAATTGTGTAATATTTGAAAAAACAAACTAATAACTCTAAAATTGTATACCCACATTAAGCACAGTCAGATTAATTGTGGTAACGTCACCAATTGTGAGTGATGGGTCACTCTCCAACTTGCTCTTTGAAACCTGACGCAGATCCATGAACTTGTCAATGATGTATCGTATCTAAAAAAGAGCATTAAAAATTTAATGAACTTAAGTGTGTTACCAGTTGTATGACATACATTTTAATCACCGTTACAGCCTGTTAAAATCAACTGCTTAATCCCATCTGTCGGAAGTCATGGGGTCTTTTTGACATTTATCTAAGTGACTTCTTACGTTACTCACGGGCCCATAGACGTGATTCCCTCGTCGGCAGTGGTAGCCATAATACCTAGTCAGGTCATAAGTATTGTCACACAGTAAAAACTTTTCTTTTAGAATGCTAGCCACAAAAAAGTTTATTGAATTCGAATTTCGAATTGTTCATGAAAATAAAACTGTATACTTTTTAAATTTTACTCATTTTTAAATATGGAGTGGACGCTTAAAGAAGACCGTGTTGCAGTTATTGCGTTGCATCGTTGCGGTTACGCGCCAATTCAAATTTTTGACATACTGAAAAATTTGAATATAACCAAAAGTTTCTTTAATGTACCATCAAACGATACAATGAAGACTCTAGTGTAGATGACAGGTCAAGAAGTGGTCGCCCTCGGTCTGTTAGGACTCCAGCAGTGATAAAAGCTGTGAAAGTACGAATTCAAAGAAATCCCAAACGTAAGCAGAAACTGTTGGCCCTTCAGATGGGGTTAAGCAGAACCACGGTGAAAAGGGTGTTCAATGAAGACTTAGGGCTTCGGGCATATCGAAGAAAAACAGGACATCGTTTGAATGCTCGTCTAATGGACCTGAGACTGAAGAGATGCCGCGCTTTGTTGAAGCATTACGCGGGAAAAAAATATCGGGAAATTCTTTTTTCGGATGAAAAAAATTTTTATCGTAGAAGAGAGCTACAACAAACAAAATGATAAGGTGTACGCACAAAGTAGTGAAGAAGCGAGCAACCGTATTCCGCGTGTCCAACGAGGTCATTTTCCATCCTCGCTCATGGTATGGTTGGGAGTTTCTTATTGGGGCTGAACAGAGGTACATTTTTGTGAGAAAGGTGAAAAAACGAATGCAGTTGTGTATCAAAATAGAGTCCTGACGAACCTTGTGGAACCTGTTTCTCATACCATGTTCAATAACAGGCACTGGGTATTCCAACAAGATTCGGCGCCAGCTCATAGAGCGAAGAGCACACAAGACTGGCTGGCGGCGCGTGAAATCGACTTCATCCGCCACGAAAACTGGCCCTCCTCCAGTCCAGATTTGAATCGGTTAGATTACAAGATATGGCAACACTTGGAGGAAAAGGCGTGCTCAAAGCCTCATCCCAATTTGGAGTCACTCAAGACATCCTTGATTAAGGCAGCCGCCGATATTGACATGGACCTCGTTCGTGCTGCGATAGACGACTGACCGCGCAGATTGAAGGCCTGTATTCAAAATCACAGAGGTCATTTTGAATAAACTTTAGAGTTATAAGAATCTATGTTTTGTTAAGTTCATTTTGGTATATAAATGGTTACATAATGAATAAACTTGATTCAATTATTTTATATCAAACATGTGACAGAATTTATGACCTGACTAGGTAGTTGCATTCTGGCTCACCCATATACAAAACCACGGGTAGTGTACTTTACTGTGTTTTAACGAAGTAATCACATCGTTCCAATGAGAAATGAAGAGATTTTTAAATTAATGAAAGAAAGAAGTGATTCTTATATTAACCGTTCAAGACATTATTCAAATCAGATGCGATAAAACCCAAATCGAAAGATAACTTGGTAGAAATCTGTCTTCAAGACACTTTGTTCCATGTTCTTAAATAAATACATAGTGTGCCAAGAAAACGTTGGCTTTAAATAACCACTAAGTCAATAGAGATTAATTGTTCACAGTTGTAACTGATTAATTATAATATTATTAATATAATAATAATGTCCACCGGACCGTAATTAAGTCATGATGGCAATTCCTCGCACGACTTGTTTGTGGAATCTTTTGCCACCCGCGATTTTTCCGGACCGCTACGACTTAGGACTTTCAAGAAACGAGCTTACTCCTTTTTAAAAGTCGGCATCGCACTTACAGTACCCGTGGTGTTGCATTTGTTCACGGGTGACGGTCGACACTTACCATCAGGTGAGCCGCATGCTCGTCTGTGCCCTCTTCTACATATTAAAAAAAAACTAGCAATCTGCGCAGGGCAGGCATGTAGTGCATGGAATTCCGACATGACCTTATATTATCGAGGCTTCCGTGCTATCCAAGTCAAGGGGATGAAACACCGCCAACATCTTGACTGATTGTCTTGACAGAAACCCCCGATAACTGGTTTTGGCCCTGACCCGGGATTCGAACCCGAAAGCTCATGATTAGCAGTCGCGCTTACGACCACTAAGCCATCGAGGCAGTTGTAGTAAAAATATATCAAGTACAGTAAACTGAAATGAACTTTGTCAGTTAAGATTATCAATATTTCCATTTAACATTTGTCTTCAGAAATGACACACCTATAGCAGGTGTTATTGAGGAGTTGTGTTAGTTGTGGTTGCAGAAGTACACGAACTTGCAGTTGTAGTGGAATATATAAGAAAAAAATAATGATTCCTATCATTGGAATTAAAATAAAAACACGAAATTAAAATTCATTTCAATATTCACAATGCATAAAAGAGCCACTGACCTTTTCTCCGCAGTTATCCGGGAGCAGCAGTGAGCCGTGGCCCGACTTGCCCGGGCAGATAACGTTTAAGTCTGCCGATGAGAAATGTTTTCAATTTTCAATTCCTGTTATAAGCTCATTTAAACGCGATACTTTTTATTGTTTTTTTATTATTATTATATTTTATTTTATATTTGATTTTGTTAACCAAGTGCACAAACACGAAAAGGTTCTGCATGAAGGACATGAGACCAGGCGCGATCGCAGTCTGAAATTTTGGAGGATTTCACTAATATGAAATGGGGGGGGGGGAGTGATACGTTTCTTTCGCCGGTATGAGGCCGCCACTCGAGAAACTTTTTTCCCCATCGGTGATTCCGGTTCTACTGCGGATATTCTCATTTCTAAGTTTATCACGCAGAGAAACTCCGAGCAAAGCCCTTTTCATAGCTCGCTGAGCGACCTTGAGCTTCCTCATACGGCCAGCAGTGAAGGACCACGTCTCAGTTCCATAGGTTATCATTTACACGCACTGGTTGTACAGTCTCGTTTTCAAGTTTTGAGATATGCCTGAAGAGAAGATGTGCCGTAATTTCCCGAACGCTACCCAGCCAAGTTGAATCCGTCGATTGACCTCTCCATCGAAACTGGAATTACCTAGTCGGACTATTTGCCCCAGGTAAACATATTCTCTACAACTTCGAGCTTAGTGCTTCCAACAACTACCAGCATAGGTGTGACATGGACTTTATTTTGTCCACGTTCATCTTAAAACCTATCCCTTGGGAGGCACTATTGAGGTCATTGAGCATAGTGCTTAGGTCCCCCAGCGATTCTGCCATGAGGACTACATCGTCGGCAAATCGAAGGTGACGCGCCGTTGATGATAATACCGTATCCTTTCCAGTCCAGAAGCTTGAAACCGTCTTCCAATGCAGCGGTGAAAACTTTCGGGGATATAACGTCATCCTGTCTTACATCTCTCTGAAGTTGAATAGGTTTTATACTCAGGTTCTGTACTCGGATAGCCATCGTAGCTCTACTGTACAAACACTTCAGCACTTCGATATACCGATAGTCAACTTGGCACCGCTGAAGGGACTGCAGCACCGCCCGAATTTCGAGGGAATTAAAGCTTTCCTCACAATTCAATTAGTCACATACGCCAGACGTAGTGGCAAATTGTACTCCTCGGACTTCTGTACAATTTTTTGAAAGGTATGTGTGTGGTATATGGTGGTAAAGCCTTTTCGGAAACCAGCTTGTACGGGAGGGAGGCTGGAAGTCGTTGAGTCTGCATGGGATACGATTCGTAATGACTTTCGAAAACGGCTCGAGCACGTAGACGAGGCTCAGAAGAGAAATTGGTCTGTAGTTCTTCAACAGAGCGTTGTCACCTTTCTTGAAGAACAAGACCACCGCACTTCTGTTCCACGCCTCCGGTGTAGTGCCACCGTGGAGGACGGAATTAAAGAGCTTCTGGAGGACTTCGAGTACCGGTTTTCCACTCGCTTTCAGAAGCTCCGCTGTAATCCCATGCTCGCTTGGGGCCTTGCCATTTTTAAGGTGCTGGAGAGCCATTCTAATCTCACTCAGACTGACATCCTCAATATTATCGGAATGGTGTCGGATAAGACTTGCTCTTGGATCGTTACTCACACTTACGTGTGGCTCCAACGATGATGTGTACAGCTGCCCATAGAACCTCTCAATCTCACTCAAAATCTCAGGTGTCCTGGCAACGACGCTGCCACACTCGGTCTTCAGCTTCGACAGTTGGCTCTTTCTGGCAGACAGATCTCTGGCAAAGACTTTGGAGCCTTGGTTCCGCTCGATTGCTTCTTAAATACAAGCTGTATTGAAGTTGCGTATGTCCCGCCGCATGCATTTGGAGATCTGTCTGTTGAGTTGCCTGTATGCAGTCAAATCTACTGAAGACTGCAGCTTCATTTCCCGTCTAACAGCCATGAGATTAAAAGTTTGTAGGAGAGTTTTTGTGTTCTTCTGTGGCGGATCTTGCAAAACTTAGCTCCGACTGCGTGGACAGTTTGCACGAGCTTGTAATTTATATCGTTCATTGCATTGCAATATTCTAGGCACTGAAAACGGTTTTGTAGCTCCAGCTGTAAGGTTTCGGGACATTGGATTAGAGCACGAGGGGGACGGAGCGTTAACTTTATTAGACGTGACCTCTCCAACTTAACGTTTAGGTTCAGTGTGCCTCTCACCTTTCGGTGATCGCTGCAGGTTTTCATCCTCGCGATCACTGAGACATTACTGAAAAGTTGTAGTCTGATCGTCAGTCTCATGTTTTGTCGATCTGTCGGGGCTTGACCAGGTCCACTTCCTGTGGGGCCGCTTCTGGGAGAAAGAGTTCATCATAAAGAGTCTCGCTTTCTCCATGAAGTCGGCCAGCTGCTGGCCCCTTGGGTTCTTTTGCCCTATTCCAAATTTCCTTACCTTCAACTCACCGTTCTCTCCTATGCCTAGTTTTGCGTTGAAGTCTCTCATTAATACCGTATAGTGGGTTTTGGAGGAATTCATGGCTCTAGATATATCTTCATACATTTCCACCACCTCCTCATCGGGATGTGCCAAGGTTGGTGCGTAAATCTGTATGACGATCAGCGAAATACCGTTTGGTAATTTAGAGTATAAGGTACGCAACCCTCGTCGACACACTCCAAATCTTTACAACGTTGTTAACGAGAGACTTGTGGACGATAAATCCAACACCTCCTTGGGACAGATGGTCGCCCTCCCGATGATAGAACCATTTGCCCGATTTGAGGATTACCGTGTCCTCCCCCTCTCTTCAGACCTTAGATAATCCTATAATATTCCAGTGCAACTTGTCTAGCTCTTCTTCCAGCTCCAGGATCTTCTCGTCAGTCCTCAAGGAGTGTATGTAATATGTTGCCAGGTCGAGTCGTCTTAGGTGAACCGAACCTCCACCGGAGATTCTTAGCACCCCCTGCCCCACCGTTACCATGGTCGTCACCATAGCCAGGAATAGCGGGGTCGCCGGGGACTGGGGGCCGTCTCTTTTAACTTTAATCATGGGGGTATATTGCCATAGTACCACACTTGGCGAGCGGGTTGGCAACCGCAGTTTTTTATTGTTGTTTTGCAGTTATTAGAAAGATGCTGCTGCCCATCTTCTATTTCAGTTTCCCTCTGTCATCTCTTACGACACCCACAGGAAGATATGTGGTAGTGGGTATTCTTACCCGCCACTACATGGGAGTTCTCACAGCTAAAAGTTAATAATTATAACAATTTATGGCAGTAGTAAGAACATTTTATTATGACAAAATATGAGTGTTATGTATACATATAGTTCAAATTCAAGTTTATTCGTTTGCAATATATAAGGTACAATAATTTTTAAGAATTTCACCAAACATGTAGACACATTCTGCAAACTGTATATGACAAGATATTTTAATAATCATTATAATGGAAATATATACCTAGAGTAAATTAATTGTACTATGTACAAGCAATAAATTGACAAAGTTTTAGCGCAATCTAATGAACATACCGTTCATTAGAGGCAGCGCATAAAATACGAACAAACAAGCATTAATTTTTATATACTAGATTTCTATTTATATGACCAACATTATGACAAATTAACACATGTTAAAATAACCATAATAATTAAATATTAATTTCATAAAAACCAATAATATTCTAATTTAAAATTTTATAGTTCAATACAATAAATTTAAATCAAACAAACATTCATCAAAAAGCAACAATATTGCAATACGCCTTTTTAGTTAAAAAAATGTTTAACTTATTATTAAAGATGTGAAGGCCCTTAGATTTTCTTATATATACAGGGTTATTTAGCATTTAGAATGAGTAAAGAAAAATTAAGTGATTGGTGAAGAAAAATTAATAAAAAAAATCTCAAACATTCTGTCCTTTTTATATTTTTAATTCAGAATGCGTGGTAATTGGTATTATTTTAACTGATTGTCATTCATAAATATCTATTTTATTACACACGCAAATATTCATAAGGGTCGCTCGGTCGGCAATAACCTTGTGAATTGAATCGCACACAGAAGAGCGCGCTCGCTCTAGAGAAGTTGTTGTCCATAAATCGCATTCAATTTGGGATAACTTCAAATAAAAGTAGAAGCCTTATTTACTCGTATTTTCAAAAAATGCAATAACAATATATAATTATTTATATATTTAACATAAATATAAAATTAAGAAACTTTTTGAAAAATAACGCTGTAAATTGGTAAATGTTTATACATTGGACCCATGCAGAATGAGCTTTTTATATAAAAATAATTTCAAACTCACGCCAAATAGTTCTTTCGCCGTTGAACACCTGGTACTCATCGGTTGCGCTAGCGATGCCTTCGTCTAAAGCGAAGTCCACGTTCAGCTTCTTGAAGTGTTCTGTTTTGACGAACTCTTTCATTCCTTTTTTACCGCCTAATTCTTCATCTAAATAAAAAAAAATAAGCAACTTATTTAAGGTACTGTGTATATAAGTATGGAATGGTTACCTCGCACCCTGCAGTCGAGAGAATTAGTACTAAAAAACAACGTATGTCTAATGTCAAAGATATTTCCGTTTCGGTTTGACCACGAGAACTTGAACTTTTCAATTTTTTTTTTAAATAAAAACAAAAATAATTTGTAGAATGTGATTTCAACGTGATTTAAACATGCAAGGTTAATAATGTTTAAAAAATACGCCAACTGCGTAAACATACTAATAACACCCATTATATAATATGTACCCATTATACCATACCCATTATATATATTATATATAAGAACTTTATCACAGCTTTATTACTTTTATACGGGGTAGAGCCATGCTGCAGCTATATTTTAGTATAGTTGTACCTACGTGCTACAACTATACTAAAATGGGTCGGCTCGACCGGGGAAGGACCACGCTCTCACAGAATACCAGGGTAAAATAGCAGCTTAATGCTGCTGTGTTTTGTATGGTGAGTGTAGAAACCCGGAGACTCTTTTTATTGGAAAAGAGGCATTCCATCTTATTCCTCACGACTGACAACGCATCTGAACAAACACAGATCACACAACTTCATTACGGAATCTGCAAAATACCTACAAGTTTCAATAATAGCGGTGTATTGTCCCTAATACATTGGTCTTTTTATCAAGCCAACTAAATACATATATAAAATTTAGATTTTTTACTACTTCGAGTTGTTATTAGATTGGTGACCTCGCCATCGCCATGGCCATTTTGTTTCTGTTGTTACCTTATTCTGTATGGGTAAAGTTTGTGTGCATAGTGCACATAGTCACATAATCGATAATGATACAAGAAACAACAGTCCAGTTTTGTTTCAATTATATAATGTTCTTGCATACCATAACTTCTCCTTTTTGTTTATTTGAATATTGTGAAGCATACTATTATATACCTTAAAACATTTTTGTAGTCTACATTGTTTGCAGTTGTTAATGTTTTGAAGTATCTACTTACAATCAGGTGTACTATTTTATGTTTAATTTCTCTCAGTCGCCGCTTACGACTCCATAGGATGTTAAAAGGAGGCAGTTGATTTTCTTTCACCGCTCTTCAGCGGCACAATTTTAACTTATTGCAAATAAACGGTCCTGGAAGTTTTTTTTTACTAATGCTGCGTGAAAATGCTGACTATAACGTAGCTGTAAATGTATATTATAATATGTCCTCGTATGCATCTGTTCTCATTCACTCACAAGCGTTTAATTCTAACGGGTAGATGAATGCCTTATAACCGTCGCAGTAAGCTGTCTTGGCAACGAGCTTGACAATAATTACGATCGTCTTATTTATTTCTTCCGGCCATATTTTGCTATAATTACAACTGGTGTTATTTATTTATTTATTTATTTGGTCTATCAACGACTGTACATTACAGAAACATAAAATAGTTACATTGTAATAAACTATTATGCGCTAAATGCACAATCAGTTACAGGTAAACACAGCGTGCTATTTTAACATGTGACATAAGTACCTTTTACATTGATATAAGGTTAATTTTAAACTAGTTATAACTGATAACAGATAGGTATAATTGATCTGGGATTTTTTTTGACAAATGTGCACGAAACTGTTTAAGTTTAAGAGAGAAAACATCCTTGGGATCATTAATAAAACATGTATTAATGATCCCAAGCATAAGTCGCGTTGATTGGCTTATGTGCATAAGTCGCGGAGATTGGCTGGTGCCTATCGTTCGCACGCGCTAATTGTCTCTCCAGTAGCATTCGTGCAATTCAATTCGTGCGCGTCCCCTCCGCATTTCGTTCAGCGCTAAACTTACGTGCCAAGACTTGTAAAAATTAATTACCTAGTTTCAGGAGTATTTTCCGCCCTCTCTCAGTCGTGTGCACTATCACCGTTACCACTACTTCCAACAGCACTACATGAAGAAAGACACCACCGTTGATAACACGACAAGTGTTTCGCCTCTAAATGTGGCATCACAACTAATGGATGGATAGTGATGTAAAATAATTTGCAAGTACAAACAATAAAACCAAGTTTACCTGGTACAAAGCTTAGATGAACTGTCCTCTTGAGACGTATCCCTTTATTCTTCAATCTCTTTACTGCTTCAAGGTACTGAATTGCAACAGACTTCATATCTTGGACCCCTCGCCCATAGATAACACCGTCGACTAATTGAGCGTCAAAAGGCGGGTGTTTCCAGCTTTTCTAAATGTTAAAAGATATGAAAAATAAGATTTATTATAAAGTATATTAAATATTTATTAGAATCCGTCTTGGTTGATACCGCCTTCTTGCTTTTTGCCAAGCAGCAGTGCAACCACTGCTAAGTTCCAAGTTGCAGACTTGTTATTGACTGTGAGACAGTCCTCAGGGGTGGCAATGTATGTATGGTATTCTTGGTCCATAAACAGTAGTGGCCACTTACTCTCACACGGACTGTTGGATCGTTTGTAACTCTTATGTTAATAATAAATACACCAACTGTTTTGAAACGTCAACTTAATACGCTCGCTATGTGTTCTAGATTAAGAAGACCGGAAATTTCTGGCACATGTATATAAAATTCTTAAAAAGTTTGGAAAAACTTAAACTTTTTATATTTTAATATAGAGTTAAGAGTGACACACAGTCTAGCTGACGGTAAGTGCATGTGTCCCACAGACATCTACGTCTATCCACGAATAAGAATCAAAATGCAGATAATATATTGTTACCCTTGAGAACTTAAAGTAGGACTTAATGAGGTATTCATTTCCAGTAAATTGCTGATTGTAAGAAGAACTGTCATAGTTAGAGATATACACGTTTTTGGACTATGATGTGATTTGATGTACCCTGGCTTAAACGACTGATTGGTTGTGTTAACAATTTATTATTATTAATAAATTACATTATATTAAACTTAAACCCAATATACTGGTTATGTGAGGGGCAGCGTCGCGAACTTGTCGGACTCGTGCTCAACCAACTCTCTCTCTCTTTCCCTCTGTCCGGTCTGTCAAACTGTGATATACTCTGATAGAACTTTGTTCAGCATTGAACTAAAAATTTGGTACGGTTTTATTAGCAATTTTCCAATTGGCAAGTCATTTCAAAAGTTACGAACCTACTAAAGTTTGGTGGCGTAAAAGATTTAGGACCGTGGGCTGATCCATCACGCATTTGGCCACGCAGGTATGTTGATAACACACACACACGTAAGAGTTATAAGGGTAATAAAGAGATATTTGCGGCAGTCAGCCTGCTACTTTATTTTGCTATTAAATTATTTTAAGTCTATTATTTTTCTAAGGATATACAAATACCTCAAACACTGGAACCACGTCCATATGCGAGTTCAGAAGTATACTTGGCAATTCTGGTTGTAGACCTTCCCATGTCATCACCAGAACTGGTTTCTTAGGCACGACCTCAAACACCTGTACTGGAAGACCAATCTCCGCTGCGTGCCTTTTAAGAAAATTTAGACACTCATCTGAAAGTAATCATAAAATTGTGTTTAGAATGAGCTCTCTTAAAACATTTTTACATGATATAGGAAATTGGAAAAATAAGAGGGGCCTTATACTCGCATTGACTACGCCGTTAACTATATAATTAACAATAAACGATGCACTATTAGCATATTAAATATTCAAATAATATTTTGATTATTTTGGCCAATTAAGATTTTATTATAGTAAGCACCACAAACTTTAAGTATCACCAACTTTCCATTCTCAATGTAATACACGCGATAAAATAGAAAAAAGAATAGGATGATGTAGGACACAAACTTATCTTCCTCCTTTACAATCTTCCTCAACAGTCCCTATTGGCCCACTGAAAACCAGCGCTGTTGTTTCGGCGACAGCATAAGTAGAGTGAGATCAGTTCGCCTAACGCACCACAACACAGAACTTGAGGGACGTATTTCAAATGTTTAATTATATATAAAACTTTTTTAAATGTTATAACCGTCAAATTGTTATTTTTGTTTTCCTAATTTTTCTTATACTTATTATTTGATATGTCTACAAAGCTTGAAATTTAAGAGCCCAATGATGTTTGTGGCGTGTGGTAATAAATTATTTTTTCTATCTTTATTTTTCTGTCAAAAAGATCCGTGGTAGCTCAGATGGTTAGCGCTCGCTGTAAGCTTTTTTTTTTGTAGGATAGAGTGACAAACGAGCACACAGTTCACCTGATGGTAAGTGGTTGCTGTGGCCCATAGACATCTACATTTATCCTCGTTTGCAAATCAAAATGCAGTTGCGTTGTCACCCGTGAGGACTAAGATGGAATGCCTCTTTTCCAGTATAAAGGGAGACCCTTTATACTGGAAAAGAGGCATTCCATCTTAGTCCTCACGGCTGACAACGCATCTGAACAAACACAGTTCACACAGCTTCATTACGGAATCTGCAAAATACCTACAAGTTTCAATAATAGCGGTGTATTGTCCCTAATACATTCTCGATTCTTCGATTCTCTGCACTCACCGTACGAAACACAGCAGTGTTAAGCTGCTATTTTACGATGGTATTCTGTGAGAGCGTGGTCCTTCCCCGGTCGAGCCGATCCATTCGTGCTACAACTATACTACTAATATAGCTGCAGCATGGCTCTACAGTACTAGAGCAATCCGGGTTCGATCCGTCGGCACCAATGAAATCGTTAATTGTAATTTTAAGTTCTGATTTACCACGTGCTCGGCGGTGAAGAAAAACATCGTGAGGAAACCTGCATGTTCGAGAAATAAGAAAAAAAATCATCATCATCATCATCATTACAGCCCTTCACAAGTCCACTGCTGAACATAGGCCTCCCCCAAAGAATGCCACAAAGCACGGTCCTGAGCCACCTGCATCCATCGACTTCCTGCATGTCTTACCAGGTCGTCACTCCATCTCGTGGGGGGACGCCCTACACTTCGCCTACCGGTACGAGGCTGCCACTCGAGAACCTTTCTTCCCCATCGGTTGTCGGTTCTTCGAGCTATATGGCCGGCCCACTGCCACTTCAGCTTACTAATCCGTTGGGCTATGTCGGTTACTCTGGTTCTACTGCGGATATCCTCATTCCTAAGTTTATCACGCAGAGAAACTCCGAGCATAGCCCTCTCCATAGCTTGCTGAGCGACCTTGAGCTTCCTCATACGGCCAGCAGTGAAGGACCACGTCTCAGTTCCATAAGTCATTACTGGCAACACGCACTGGTTGTACAATTTCGTTTTCAGGTTTTGAGGTATGTCTGACGAGAAGATGTGTCGTAGCTTCCCGAACGCTGCCCAGCCGAGTTGAATCCGTCGATTGACCTCTCGGTCGAAGTTGGACTTACCTAGTCGGACTATTTGTCCCAGGTAAACATACTCGTCAACAACTTCGAGCTTAGTGTTCCCAACAACTACCGGCATAGGTGTGACATGGACATTAAACATGATCTTTGTTTTGTCCATGTTCATCTTAAGACCTATCCGTTGGGAAACACTATCGAGGTCATTGAGCATAGTGCTTAGGTCCTCCAGCGATTCTGCCATAAGGACTATATCGTCGGCAAATCGAAGGTGAGTGATGTACTCGCCATTGATGTTGATACCGTTGAAAAAAAATATTTCGAAGAAATGTGAAGTTCGCCAACACGCATTGGGGCAGCGTGGCGGATATTTCCTTGCCTTCCCTTCGGGACATGTCTCCCTCCAATAGGAGGAAGGATTTTCTATAATATTTAAGCTTAACTGGCGGATTGGCATTCACGAAAATAGACGTCCCGCATCTTTGACGCTGCTTCCAGTCGCTTCTTGAGATTGAGCCAAAATATGCTACATTAACTAAAACAATGTAAAATATTTCTTTGCTAAATTTTGAGGTACACAAGGACTTGATGGAAATTTATTCAGCAGTGAATTTGTGGGGAATTAAAACAATTTGTAATCTTGATAATAATTTTATCTGATAGAATAGTGTAGACTCATCGCATTCACCCTAATTACTATGCGGAATTTGTCTAGTCCACCAACAGCAATAGAACTTCAAAACAATAAAGTAATTTACCGTAATTGACGTTGGGCTGAACACTCCGGATGCGAAGATAATCCCGCAAATTGTTAATTGCGGGATCGCTGCTGTAGTCCACGGGCGTTGTGGCCATCATAACCGATACGAGTGAGCACCTCCGATCTTAATTACACTAATTATGTGCAAGCAAACGATATCACCCGCTTTATATTTATTTGTAACCGCACTATGATATGGAACGTTGTGGGTTATGCGGGGAATAATTATCAAATAGTAAAAATATTGTTATCTATTTGTGTCGTAGATAACTAGGAAGCGAATGGAAAATAAGTCATTTATTTATAAATAATATACATACAATTCTCAGAATATAGCTTTTTTTATAGGATAAGGGTGACAAACGAGCACACAGTCCACCTGATGGTAAGTGGTTGCTGTGGCCCATAGACATCTACATTTATCCTCGATTACGAATTAAAATGCAGATGCGTTGTCACCCGTGAGGACTAAGATGGAATGCCTCGTTTCCAGTAAAAAGGGTCTCCGGTTCTCTACACTCACCATACGAAACACAGCTGCATTAAGCTGCTATTTTACGCTGGTATTCTGTGAGAGCGTGGTGCTTCCCCGGTCGAGCCGACCCATTCGTGCATTCATCTTCTCTTTTACATACCGGGCTGAAGCCCACACAATGAATTGTCTGGTGGTATTAAAGGACAAAACCATTATAGATCCTGGCTTACAATGATAGGAGAGTGCTATAGGCTTGTGACATTAAAAAAAATTGTACTGTTAAAGATATTAGATTCAAGAAGTTGTAGGTTAAGCCTGAGTTAGAAAATAAGGTAGAAACTTAAAATAACAATTTTAATTTATGTGGGTAGTGTCTTTTAAGTAGTTCAGCTGATGAAATTGACAAAATAATATAAAAGGAGAAGAAGACGTCTCCATACATTCTTGGGCCCAAGTGTTAACAAGATGAAAGTACCATTTGAAAGCGTATATATAAACAATTAATAGCTGAAAAGATTTGTCAATCTAGAAGCTCAGTTATTGCAGAATAAGTAAAATAGAGATTATCTATTACCTATACACTAACAGGTGATTTTTCACTGTTATTACATTGTAACAGGTTATATTTCACTACAATTACTTAAAGATATAAAAGCAGGATCAGTATAAAATAGAGGCATAAAAAGTTAAAGTGATTTTTTCGTGTGACGGAAGTCATGATAAATAGATTTATACAATGAAACAATCATTTTATTCGCTATTATTATATTTTAAAGCATTTCAAACTTAGTAACCTTCAACAACATTATCGATACTTTGGTATCGAAAGGGTAACATTCCTAAAACGATCTTATATTTTAAGCGTCACCTACTGGGGAATAACTAAAATGTTGTCTTATTAACTGATAGCGTAGTTTTGCTACTTTTAGCTAGAGGACGTCACACACGAACGAGCTTAAAGTTTTTGTATATAAATTTTCCCAATGCTCGCTCTATCTATAATATAAAAATGAATCACTGAATGTGTTGCTAAGCGCAAATCTCGAGATCAGCTGAACCGATTTCGATAATTCTTTTTTTATAATATTCCTTGAAGTACGAAGATGGTTCTTACGGAGAGAAAAATTTAAAAAATTGCCAGAAAAAGCCTAAAAACAACACTTTTCTATGTTAAAAGATTCGTAATAATACTTAAAAGTCAATTTGAACTTTAATACCATACCATAAAGTTTAAGTATTAGTGGAGGGGTTCCGGAAACGCAAAACAATTGAACCACCAATTGGAAAAAGGAAATAAACGCCACTTTTTCACGTATGCACTTTTTTACAGTATTGCAATTTTTAAACTTAGCGCTACACTGTGAGTTAGAAAAAAGGAATAAAACACCTTCAATCCATATAGATTCATGCGATCAAAAAAAAATTCGTCGGAAGAAGGGAACAAATCCGTCTTTTATTTCCTTCTTCCAACTGTCAAGGTTACGTCAATAAAAATTAAACTTAACTTTATCGGAGGGAAAACTGTCTAAAGATAAACCAACGTGGTCATCATTGTAATTTTAGTAGTAGTATTTAGAAGCAAACCTGAACTTCAAAATAATGCATGAACTATTTCGGAAAAAATACCCTCAATATCAATACATCAAATACGACTATTATTAGGGACAGTAGTGGACTGTATGATTTTACTATGCAACTGGACTGTATGACTAACTGACTGACTGATGTTGAGGTATACTACACTAGGGACTGCTTAAGAGAAAGATGGTACTGTAGACGATAATGTATTAAACTATTTACAATGCGGCTTTTACTAATTAACTATATACACAGAGGGGAGTCTTCAATGGAGTATTAATTCTTCTCTCTTGATTTCTCTTGAGGTTTCTTCTCTTGCTGTTGTCTTCGAGTGCCGCTTCCGAAATGAACGGCTTACAGACCAAAACGCCCTTTTTATATCTCGAAAGAGAGTGTCTCGGTATGTGAGTAGCGTCGTGAGGTGATGCCGCGCGCTGATTGGTCGGCGACATCGCGTGATCTGCTGGCGGTGTGCGGGGTGCGCTGGGCGCAACGGAGTATGATGGGGTGACGGGGCGGCGGCTCCCCTCGCTAGGCTTGCCAACCGTCCCGGATTTTCCGGGACGTCCCGCTTCTCGGTTAATTTTGGACCGTCCCGCCGTAACCCCTTGCGGACGCCTTTTGTCCCGGAAATCAGTGATTATATGATATTAGTATCTATCTCGTGGGTGCTAAGAATCTCCGGTGGAGGTTCGGTTTGCCACCTACGACGACTCGACCTGGCAACTTATAACGCACGCACCCTGAGGACTGACGAGAAGATCCTGGAGCTGGAAGAAGAGATAGACAAGTTGCGCTGGAATATCATAGGATTATCCGAAGTCCGAAGAGAGGGGGAGGACACGGTAATCCTCGAATCTGGCAATTTGTTCTATCACCGAGAGGGCGACCATCTATACCAAGGAGGTGTCGGATTTATCGTTCACAAGTCTCTCGTTAATAACGTTGTAAAGATTGGGAGTGTGTCGACGAGGGTTGCGTACCTTATACTCAGAATCACCAAACGGTATTCGCTGAAAGTCATACAGGTCTACGGATCAACCTCGGCACATCCCGATGAGGAGGTGGAGGAAATGTACTCGTATGAGGATATTTCTAGAGCCATGCATTCCTCCAAAACCCACTATACGGTGTTAATGGGAGACTTCAATGCAAAACTAGGTACAAGAGAGAACGGTGAGCTGAAAGTAGGGAAATTTGGTATAGGGCAACGGAACCCAAGAGGCCAGCAGCTGGCCGACTTCATGTAGAAAGAGGGACTCTTTATGATGAACTCTTTCTTCCAGAAGCGGCCCCACAGGAAGTGGACCTGGTCAAGCCCCGACGGTTCGACAAAAAATGAGATTGACTTCATTATGACGACCAGACGACAACTGTTCAGTGAAGTCTCAGTGATCGCGAGGGTGAAAACCGGCAGCGGTCACCGAATGGTGAGAGGCACACTGAACCTAAACGTTAAGTTGGAGAGGTCACGTCTAATGAAGTCAATGCTACGTCCCCCTCGTGCTCTAATCCAAAGTCCCGAAACCTTTCAGCTCGAGCTACGAAACCGTTTTTAGTGTCTAGAAGATTGCAATGCAGTGGACGATATAAATGACAAGCTCGTGGAAACTGTTCATGCGGTTGGAGCTAAGTTTTGCAAGAACCGCCGCAGAAGAACACAAAAACTCTCCGATTACACTCTTAATCTTGAGGTTGTTAGACGGGATATGAAGCTGCAGTCTTCAGTAGATTTGACAGTATACAGGCAACTAAACAGACAGATCTCCAAATGCATGCGGAAGGACTTACGCAACTTTAATACTGCTCGCATTAAAGAAGCGATCGAGCGGCACCACGGCTCTAAAGTCTTCGCTAGAGATCTGTCTGTCAGAAAAAGCCAACTGTAGAAGCTGAAGACCGAGTGTGGCAGCGCTGTTTCTGGGACACCTGAGATTTAGAGTGAGGTTGAGAGGTTCTATGGGCAGCTGTACACATCATCGTTGGAGCCACATGTAAGTGTGAGTAACGATCCAAGGGCGAGTCTTATCCGATACTATTCCGATGATATCCCGGACGTCAGCCTGAGCGAGATTAGAATGGCTCTCCAGCACCTTAAAAACGGCAAGGCCCCAGGTGAGGATGGAATTACAGCGGAGCTTCTGAAAGCGGGTGGAAAACCGGTGCTTGAAGTCTTTCAGAAGCTCTTTAACTCCGTCCTCCATGGTGGTATAACACTGGAGGCATGGAGCATAAGTGCGGTGGACTTATTCTTCAAGAAAGGTGACAACGCTCTCTTGAAGCACTACAAACCGATTTCCCTTCCGAGCAGCGTCTACGTGCTGTTTTCAAGAGTCATTACGAATCGTCTCGCGCGCAATCTTTACGACATCCAGCCTCACGAACAAGCCGGCCTTTGATTCCGTCGAAATTTGGGCGGTGCTGTACTCCCTTCAGCGATGCCAAGTTGACTGTCGGTATGTCGAGGTACTGAAGTGCTTGTAAAGTAGGGCTAAGATGGTTATCCGAGTACAGAACTAGAGTACGAAACCTATTCAATTGCAGAGAAGTGTAAGACAGGATGACGCTATATCCCCGAAACTCTTCACCACTGCATTGGAAGACGTTTTCAAGCTTCTGGACTGGAAAGGATACGGTATTAACATCAATGGCGAGTACATCACTCACCTTTGATAGTCCTTATGGCAGAATCGCTGGAGGACCTAAGCACTATGCTCAATGACCTCAATAGTGTTTCCCAACGGATATGTCTTAAGATGAACATGGACAAAACAAAGATCAAGTTTAATGTCTATGTCACACCTATGCCGGTAGTTGTTGGGAGCACTAAGCTCGAAGTTGTTGACGAGTATGTTTACCTGGGACAAATAGTCTACTAGGTCGGTCGAAGGAGGACTAGGTAAGTCCAACTTCGACCGAGAGGTCAATCGACGGATTCAACTAGGTTGGGCAGCGTTCGGGAAATTACGGCACATCTTCTTTGTCAGGTATACCTCAAAACTTGAAAACGAGACTGTACAACCAGTGCGTGTTGCCAGTGAT